GCCAAATGTTCTTGCGAAGCTTAGGTAGGAAATGATTCTGGGAAACTGGAAGAGGAAAATAGATCCCTATTAAGTAAAAGTTCAGCCCTCAGAATAGGGATTTATGATTGCTGTGTCCTATGAAGGTTGTAGGAATCATATTTTCACACAGGAAGTGAGGGTCAGGTGCAAGATTAAAGAACCCAGAATTCAACACACACGGCGCCACCAGGATGGAGCCCTTAGGACTTTGAAAGAAGGACCAGCCCACATAGGACAGGAACAAGCACAGAGCAATAGTAGTATCAATAATAATACTAGTAATAGCAATAAAAAGCTAATATTTATTGAGTGCTTCTGAACCAATGCACTGTGCAAAACTTTTTACCTACATTCTCTTAATTTCCAAGATGTCAAAGCACATCTTCCCTCTGGCTCCTGCATTTTTGTCTGTGCATTAACCCTTGCTGATTTTTGTTCCATGGTTTCTTTTTTTGAGTGTGTTTACCTACTTCAGACTTTGGAATCTCTTGTTCATTGGTCATTTATTCATACAGCAAATATGTACTTGCCATCATTCTGCTAGTTACTAAAACTACAGACATGAGCAAGTGAAAAAAAGGACGCAATTCCAGCTTGCAAGGATATTGCATTCTGGTGTGGATGGACAGATCAGAGATACCGTGGTAATAAAACAATGTGCCCAGGCATGAGGTCATCTAGTATAGCCTGAGGTGAGTGAGTGGGGCAAGTCTAGGAAATGGTCTCAGTAACAGGAACACACAGGTCTTTAGTAGATCCTTGTGTATAATAGTCATACTACATATAGTTATAATATGTAATATATTATACTATTATACATTATGCTACCTATAATATATATATGTATATATAGACACATGTATGTGTTATGTGTACATTTAGTATTACTGTTATATTTGGATGGGGTTAACAGTCCAAATGTCCATTAATAGGGGACCATTAAATAAACAATGAAACACTGGCATACTGATATGGAAATAGCTATAAAATGTATAAGGAAAAAAGAAAGGGCTCATAAGTGCGCATATCATACGCTAGCTTTTGTGTGGTGCAATAGAAATATATAGTCATATTTTCTTGTATTTGTATAAAAACATGCTGGACTCACGCAAAACACTGAAACAAAAACAAACAGAATAAAAGTGTGTGTCTTTTGGGGAGCAGAGATGATAGAACCAGGCACATGGGTCCCAAACGTGGGAGGGAGTGTTTTCACTGCATACAATTTATGCCTTTGAACCAAGTGAGTGTACTTTCTATTTTTAAAAATGAAATTAGCATATCCTGAAACGTTTTGGAGAAAGACGTCTACTAGCGGAAAGATGCCTGCTAGTGGCCAGGTGGATGAGAACCGAGGCTGGGGTGGGAGGGAGAAGGGATGGGGTGGAGAACCCGCCCCACTAACCCTCTGCTCTTGGAGAGCCGCAGGTAGGAATGAGCAGGAAGGCCTGCGGGCGGCAGAACGCACCAGGCTGTGCACAGAGGGTGGCTGGGCTCCCCTGGCGCAGTGCCAGGAGGTGAGGGTGGGAGTCCAGTCGGGTACTCACCAGGAGGATCTCATGCTACAGCAGGGAACTTGGATTTCATCCTGAAGCTGATGGGAATCACTGAAGAGTGATCGGAGATTTGCACTTTGGAGTCATCGCCCTGGGAGCAAGGGGCATGCCTGATGGATGGGGCAGGTCACATCATCTACAGCCAGGTTCTGGCTACTGTCTTTGATGCCTCACCTTCTGGGACGGTTGCATTTTGCTCCTCCCTTCATTGCGTCCACAACCTTTCTTTGGTGCGCACGCTGATCTTCAGCCTGGTGTTGCGACAACTTGCAGGAGCCTTGCTATAGGTCTCGGTGAGTTAGGGCAATGGGAACCCTCTCTCAGCTTTGCACGCTCTGTCTTCCCTCAGAGGGACAGCCCAGGAAGGGAGCCCAGGCTCGCGGATGCCCTGCAGGGCTCGGCCGCGCTGAAAGGAGCTCCTGGCTCCAGAGGGGGACATGGGAGGCTGGGGGATTTGCTCCCTGAGCCCCTGTCCCATCTTAGAATCCTGCCTATCGCCGCCTTTCCGAGTTCTGTTATTTTTTCGTTTCCACCTAGCTTGTGCACAGTTCTTATGTCCACATAAGCATGGTTATGACTGAGGTCTCTTTTGTTCCAGTCCCAAGCTCTGCTCGTACCTGGGATGATTGTTCAGGCAGTATTCCCCGGCTGAGTTGTATTCCATGGGCAAATCGTTCAAACACTTCCCTCTGATTTGGAAGACAGCTGCTGACCTTAAACCCCCAGGACCCCCTCTTCCATCCTGGACACCTCTGTCAGTCCCTCCTCTAGATTCTAGGCATTTCTGTACCTCCAGTATTAAAGGGGTAACCCCTGCTGCCCATGCCTCTCAGGCTATTAAATATTCCAACCATCACCCTGGTTTTTCAGTAACCGAGCAAACATCTCAGCACATATTAGGCACCTGGTATATGAATGACTCTCCTATCATCAGAGTTTTTAAAAAAATCACAGTTCTAATAATTGTAAACATAATCATATGAAATAAGCAAAAACCACAATAAACTCATATAAAATCAACCACACCAATAACACATAATTTGATAGTTGTGAAATAATTTCAGGATATATTTTATTTTAATATTAATATAAAAAGATAAAATATTGAAAATCTTGTCTTGCAGGTATACAGCACAAGAAAAGTCAGAAAGTAGCAACTAGGCTTTTATTTCCAGGATGCTGAACAGTATAGTCAGGATAACTGTTCATGGTGGCAGCTTTGAATGTTCATAAGATAATATGTTGAGGAATTCATTTATAAGTTATAAGTACCTTTAGGTGGCAATATCTACAGTTTATTTAGCTTTCCCTTTAGGAAGTGTTTTTCTGAGACAGTCCAGCTCCTTTTCAAACAAATACTTTCACCTTGCTATTCATCTGAATTGGAGTTACTATGGGGAAATGACTTTTTGATTCCTCAATATTCCGCTGCATTATAAAGATTTGGACACTATGCCATCATTCCACAGAAACAGTTTAGCAATTTACCTTAGAGTTTTTTTAAAAGAAGAGTGACCTTCCCACATATGAAAGATTCTAGAAAAATGTTTTCCATGTTACAAAAATTAATAACCTTTATGATGTAGTATACAATAGAGTTTTTATACCTTAAAATAGCCTGAAAAATTTTTAAAAATTGCCTCCATGATATTTTGGAGGCAAACAATTATTAAACATACATATTTTACTATAGTTTCATATGTAACTGCTAGGTTAAAGAAAGATCAGAGAATAGGGAAAGGTTGATAAGCATATATTGACAAATGGTAGTATATTTATACCTATAAATATGATTACAAAAACCTAGAATGATCATTTTACCTGTTACATGTCTAAAAGAAAATTCTTTGGCATTGCGGCACAATCCCTTTCTTTGAATTCAGTGTCAAATTTGCCTTTCTTTGAACCAGAGCACTAAAAGATCTTTGATTTTTGGCTTATTCTAATCTTTAATCTTTCTCAAAAATTGTAATTCAAATGTGCTCTAAGCCAACATTTTAAAACTTGAGACATGCAGATTAAAGAACAATAATTAATAGATTGAGTAAATGAGGTAAGACCCTACACTGGTGGCCCTAACAATCCGCACCTCCCAGAATTCTTGCCTTTCTATGGCACCCACTCACATTGACTCTGGGCTCAGTCACATGACTTGCTGTAGCCAATGAAACAATAGCAAACATTAGCCAAGTAGAGGCTTAATAAACGTTCGCATATTGGGGCTTTTCCTCTTAGAAACCACCTGCGTTGTTATCAGAGAGTGTAAAGTTTTCTGCAGAAAGAGAAGCCATGTGGAGGAGAATGGGGGCCAACAGCCAGTGCTGCACATGTAAGTGAGGCCTCCTTGGACGTGGCCATCCCAGCAGAGCTCCCAACTGGCAGGCTGACATGAGTGACTGTAGCCAATACACGTGGCATTTACATGAGAGACCCCAGCTAACATCATGTGGAGCAGAAGAACTACTCAGCTGAGCCTTGCCCAAATTCCTGAGCCATAGAACTCTAAACAATAAATTGACAGAATGAGTTATAGTAAGGATTTCTCAAAGTTATTTTTATAGATGATTCCAAGGTTACTTTTTCACTGACATGCCCCTCTCATATTTCCGCTATTTATTCAGTTATTTATGATTGAGCCTGTGTCTCTTATTCTCGCTAACAGTAACCAGTTGGATAAAAGAATTGAGATGGTTAAAAAGTGTGGTTGAGAATGGCTTTATTGTATATTGATTCAAACTAAATGGTAAGTCCTTGCTGGGTCTCAAAGGAACACCCTTTCTGATGATGTTATACATCCTTAAATTAATCCTACTTCACACTGTGGTCAACTGTGGGTGGGGCAGTTGGGTGGAAGGAAATTACCTTTAAGGAATCCGTGGCACATAAACCTTTTGTGGTATAATCAAGCCATTTCACTTCTCTGTTCTCTTTACGAAATTATACCCTGCTACTAAATTTTAGGCACCAAAATGCTGAAAGTCTCTGGAGGGATTTGTGTTTTAAGGAATTATTATTTGAAATGTGAAGTTTATTAGATTGACCGAGCCATTGGGTGTATGTGTTTTCACCCTTTTTTGCTCTGGAAGTCATGTGCGTTAGTAGAAGAGCCTGAAGTAGCTAAAGGACATCTGGGAGATGGTGATACTATTTCATTGGGTGGTGTGGGTTGTATTTCAAGTTAGGAACTATAGTAACTAACTGCTTCTAAAAACAGAAAGTCTGGATGCTAAGAGGACAAAGATCTGACCTTCCATCAAGATCGCTAGTGATACTATAATTGCTGTTATTTCTGTCATTTAAAGGATGTTATCTGTGTGCTCATCTGTGGCACTTTCTACCAAGTAGGTGTGGAGAGAAAGTTTAGATGCAAAAAGCAAATAAGGAAGAGTCCTGGTCAGATAATGACGCAAAAGTGACACTTACGGAGAGTAGTATTTGGATGGCGCTGTGGATGACCTCCAGGTACTGGAAATCGACGAAGCAGCCCGTGACGGAAACATACGTGTAATCGTCCATCATGCCGTGGGCTGAGGGTGGCAGCACTCTCCGCACACAGCCCGGCCCATGTTCTCTCCACCATGACCGATGCACAGAGATGTTGAATGTCATTAGGTCTGTATCCTAGGTGGGCAGGAGACAGAGAGCAAAAGGAGGCAATCATATTACATCGCATCTTTGACTTTGACCTTGGGAAGAATTCAGGATGGATGAAATTGCTGAAATGATTTCAACTTTAAGTGAAAAGTGAAAAAAGACAAAGCCAACAATGGCTATATGCAACGTATGCGTAAACTATAATATTACTTATATATGTTATACATATTATAATTATTCAACGTGGAGATACAATCATTTGAATAATATTTACATTTTAAAGTTAACACATATAAAAAATCCATAGACAAGACCCTCCATATGTGTTATTTAAAAAGCAATTTTTATTTATTTATTTATTTATTTATTTATTTATTTATTTATTTATTTATTTTGAGACAGAGTCTCACTTTGTTGCCCAGGCTAGAGTGAGTGCCG